AGTATAGAAATTAATTATTCCTGAAATGCTTTACCGAATTTGCCGAATTTTATGATATTTTTTAATTTTTAAATTTCTTCTCCCCTCTTGTCCATTCATTTCAATATATTCCATCTGAAAAACTGCTGATATCATGGATTTAATTTTTGTTATCAATGGCTTATCATTTTATCAACGTATTATATCGAATAAAGACTGATTATTATGTAGTCTAATAAATAAATTAACATTATCATTTAAATGCAATTACGGGTTTTTTTTAAGTTTTCAATTTTATGATTATTGCAGGTGGAAAATTAAAATTAATAAAAAGGAAAATAAGAATATATTCTGAATTAATGTATTGGTAATTGATAACTTATTAGAAATTACTATTGATAGCGACAACGCTGTAATATTTCTTTTTCGTTTATTTTTTTATTTATTCTATCATTTATTTCAAAATATTTCTGCTAATTTCATATTCTACTGACGAATATTCCATATTCTACTGACTATTTCACGTTTCATTAATCATCATTTTTTACGCTTGTCTACGTTTGTTCACGTTTCTTTACGTTACTTATTTATTTGATAAAAATTAGCACTGCAATAATGAGGGAATACAATAATCAAGATGTGAAAATTAATGAAAATGAACTTGATCCATGTATTGCTGCAGAAATTCGTATGAAGAAAGCATTATTTTCACAAAGGTAATTTTTTCACATTACGAATATTTGCAATATTTTATTAGAAAAATTACAAAATTTTGTTAAAATTTTTAACTTTTCAATTAATTTATTAATTCCGATAAATTTTTAAATTTTTAATTTATTATTAGTTTTTCCAAATTAATAATAATATTTTAATTAAATACTTTTTAATTTATAATTTTTTAATTTTTAATTTTTTCCATAATTTTTTTGATTTAATTTACTAATTTATTGTTCTTATGTTTTTTTTTTTTTTTCAAATTTATTATTCTTATGAAATGTAAAAATTATGCAATCATTTGTTTTTTATATTTTATTTTTGTAAACATTTATTTTTCCAATTATAACTTTTAAAATGCTAAAATTGTAATTTCAAATTTACACTTTTTTTTCTTTTCTTCTCAAAATTTTCAGAACTCGACGTTATCTATTGTTTCTTTTCATTTTCATTGCTACAGTAATCCTATTTTCTGTTTTGCTTTATTTTCTATTATCTCGAACATCATCGAAAGGAACATTGCAACAACAAACGAATGTATCATCATTATTATCTGAAATTAATCCGAAAATTTCTCATACTTCTCAAAATTCCCTTATTGCTTCATCTTCAACGGTAAGGTCATTTTTTTTTTTTTTAGCAAAACAAAAAAAAAAATTGTCCTTTGATTTTTGCTAAACTAATTAATTACTTAAAATTACTAAGAAGTGACAAGTATGAAAATAAAAGGAAAAAGTGGAAGAAAAGATTTGAAATTAAAAAATTCATCTTTTATCATTTGTAAAAAAAAAAAATTTAAATTCTTTTCTTTTAATGAATAAGTAAATAAGTAAAAATTAACCTATAGCTATTATTATGGCAAAGTATTTTTAAACATACATGTGGTTGAATTAAATGATCAAAAGCTTAAATGATAAGCGCTTATATTAATGATATATTTATTTGCAGATAGTAATAAATGATTCATTAGCAGGAATAATCGATGAACCATCACCAAAAGTTATCGAAATTGACGATAACGCATTTCATGTAGGTGATAGTGATTAGCTGATAATTTTGATTCCTTCCTTTTTTTTTCTTGCAATCAAATTTATCAGTTAAATGAGGAGGAAAATGATTATAGGGAAAAATTCATTGAAATTATAAAAACAAAATAAGTTGTATATTTCAATGAGGAAAAAAAAACAAGTGGAATTAAGAAAAATCACAAATTCCTGAATTGATAAGTAAAAAAAATATGCATGCATTTTACATTCTGTTTCAGTAATTATCTTTTGTAATTAATTAATCAACAAATTGAAATATGAGTTAGTGGGTTTCAGTAATTATCTTTTTTAATTAATTAATCAACAAATCGAAAGTGGGAAAAACAAAAAAGAAAATTGGAGTTTATAAAAGATGAAATTTTAAATTGGAGTTAAAAAATTCGAAATCTTTTAACGGAAATGAAATTTGAGGAAAAAAATGACCAGTAACATTGACTAATAATGAATAATCAATTTATTCAATCGTATTTACTACAATATATTGTTATCAAATTCCGTTTTTTCTTTTTTTTTCATTATATTTACATTATCATTCACAAATTTTTATAAATTTGAAATAATTATATAATTATTCGTTTTTTAACTTTACTGTCATTTTATTACAGCCACTTTTTATTTATTAATAATTTCAATTTTAATTCCCAAGAATTTAATTTTTTTTTTTGTTGCATCGTGCTTGATTATTGGAGTCATTTTTCACTTCTCTTGTAGGAAAATCCTATGGATAACATTGATTCAATATCAAATTCTTGGTCTACAGCTACGATAACGGCTACAGTAACAACTACGGTAACAGCTACAGTAGCGGCTTCAGAAAATATTGCCAAAACATCTCATCTTTTGATGCAACCTACGAGTAATACTGGTATTAACACAACGACAGTATCACCTTTGATTAGGATAGATAAGCAAACAGGAGAATCTACCACTCCACCATCATTTATTGATAATGATGATGAAGATGACGATGATAAGGCTGAGGTTTGTCATAGGATCTTTTTTTTATGTCAGAAATTGATAAGTATGATAAATTAAATCTGATAATTCAAAACCAGATCATTTAAATGAGATTTAATAGAAAGTATGATTTGGGGAATAAAAAATAAAATATGATGAGGATTTGAACGGTAACAGTTGATAAACATTATAAATTAGGAGTGATAACATGAAATATATTATGATAATTTGAAAAATAACAACTTCAAAAAGGAATTAGTGAAAAACATTTTATAAAAATGATAAATTTACACAGAAATAAACTTAGGACAGATACTAATTAATTGAAAAAACTATCTTTTCTTGTATTTCATACTTCTAATACAAGAATTTGAAAATGTAGCCTAAAGCTATAAAATCATTTAAAAATTAATTACCTAAAATAATGAAACATTTCGATTAATTGATTGAAATGAAATTCGAAAACATTCATTTGTTCCAAATGATACTTTTATATGAGGCAATTAATCAATTATTTATTTGAAAATAAACTAATTATTTGTTTTTGTTCCTTTTTCAACATATATATATTTTTTTTCTAGTCTTTTTTTTTTTAAAAAAAAAAAGTATATTTCAATTTACAGGATTGCAAAGCATTGCTTGATAAAGGTAAAACTGAAAATGGAATTTATCAATTGTTTTTGCCAAAAATTGGTAAATTCAATGCTCTCTGTGATATGATAACAAATGGTGGCGGTTGGACAGTAATACAAAAGTAAGCATTTAAATCAATAAAGATACATTTAAAAATTGTTAATTAATATAATTTTGTTAATTTAATTAAATTAAAAATTATTTGGAAAAAAGTAAAAATATTCATGTCATTTCAGGAAAAAATCTTTGCAACAATTATGAAAATATAAATGATTATTTTAGACGAAAAAATGGTCAAATATACTTTGCTTAATCGTACATGGAATGAATATGTTAATGGTTTTGGTGAATTTAACAAGCTCATTTT